ACAGCTGACCTGAACTAGCCAAAGAGCTATTCCATACCGTGTGACATCATGCTTCCATATATAAATAGGGAGTGGGCTGCAGGGGAGTTCTTGGCTCTTGGTGTGGGAAGTGGCAGAGCATTGGGTTCCAAGTGGTGAGCAGTTGCACTGTGCATCACTCTTTTTGTATGTTTTAATTAGTACCACTGTTGTAACTTCTCTTTTTGTGCTGTCTCAGTAAACTGTCCTTATCTCAACCCACGAGGTTCTGTTTTCTTTTTTCTTTTTCCTTTTCTTTTCTTTTCTTTTTTCTTTTTTCTTTTCTTTTCTTTTCTTTTCTTTTCTTTTCTTTTCTTTTCTTTTCTTTTCTTTTCTTTTCTTTTCTTTTCTTCTCTTCTCTTCTCTTCTCTTTTCTTTTCTTCTCTTTTCTTTCTCTTTTCTTCTCTTCTCTTTTCTTCTCTTCTCTTTTCTTCTCTTTTCTTCTCTTTTCTTTCTCTTTTCTTCTCTTCTCTTCTCTTTTTTTCTTTTCTTTTCTTTTTTTTCTTTTCCCTCTTTTCTGATTCTCCTCCCCATCACACAAGAGCGGGGTGGGGAGGAGTGAGCGAGTGGCTGCGTGGTGCTTTGTTACTGGCTGGGCTTAAACCACAACACCTGGAGAGGACAACATATTGGGTCGGGCTGCGGCTTCCCTGGGAGCATGGAGGTGGACCTGGTACATGTGCAACAACCCAAAGTATCTCAGGGACATTCCCCACGAGATGAAAACCTCGACACTCACCTGCAAAAGTGATGGCTGTGACGAGCAGAGCTATGAACAGCACCATCATCATCACCTGACAGGCAACACGCGCCTCCGGCTTCATCTCAAGGCTGTAACCTGCAGGAGAAGAGACCTTCAACGCCTTTGGGGCGTACAGAGGGGAGCAACACACTCCAGGTCCAGGCCGTTGGCCCAAAAGATGGGTTTTCCTCCTTTTGCTCAAGGATGAAGGGGATTTTTAATGCACTCTCACCATGTCGGGCCATCGTGGAGAACACCAAGCCCCACATCTGAGCACTTGGGTGATGCTCATCAGAAGCACCTTTGGGAAGAGCCTTCCTGAAGGACAGGCATCATTTGATGCCCAAATGATGACAGGTTAGTCTCTTCCCCACACCAGGTAGACTTGCTGTCATTTTGGGTGAGAAACATCAAAAATTCTTCTCTGCACAGAATAAAATCATGTATTTTTTCACTTTTGAGAACTCTTCCTTAGTAGGGGAACATTGTCCCCTCCCCAATGCCAGCTGTAAACTCCTGCTCTGAAATGCACCATAATTAGAATTATGTTTTAATTTCTTGGTTCTATTTCATTATTAAAGCTCAGTGGACCTCTTGCTCCACCTAAACTGAGATACTTTGTGTCTTGCAAATGACCTGAGTCATGGTCACTACATCTCTGGGTCTTGTGATCCAGAACATGCTCTTCCCCCCACCATGAGCAAAGAAAATTCTGTTTCCTAAGGATTTTACCTAAAAATCTCAGTGTTTTCAACCATGGGGACTTTCCCCATTTTTCTTTTAAGCTTCCCCCTCTTTGCCCCCTTCTGTCACATGAACCAAATCTCATGGGACAAACCTTCCTCCCTGCTTCCTCATGCAAAAATAATATTAGAAAGTAAGTCAGAAGCCAAATATGCCAAATAATAATAAAAAAGCCATATTTAAAAAATCAGCAAATTTTAAAAAATCAAGAAATCAACAAATTAAAAAAATCAACAGATCAACAAATATGGCAAATCAAAAAAACAGTCCTCAAAGTCTTAGTCCCTGGCTGGGTAGAGACAGACAATGGAAAAGACCAAAAAAGCCCCTTTTCTACCTTATTGTGCACCAAGAGGATGATGGGGATGGGAGGAAGATGCAAGAGAACTAAAATAGGGCAGTGTTGAAGGGAAGGCAGAGATTAATAAATATTTTACTGATGTGTCTAAACTGGACTTAAAACCCAGACTTATTTTTTAGGGTCTTTTAACACCTTAACTATTCAAAAATTGCTTTATTCTCATTCAGAATAAAGCAGAAATCTGGACTTTTTGGGGGAAAAAACAAAAAAGACCCAAAAGAAACAGTGACTCAAGTGCCTCAGGGAGGATTAATCATATGTGGGAATAACCCAAGGTATCTGAAATGAGATCATTTAGAGCAAAAATACCAGCTGCTGATTGACAAAAATCTTCCTGAGGGAAGTGCTAGAAAAAGCTTTTTTTTTTTCCCTACACCCCCCCCTCCCCTTACCTCAGCTGGTTTTTGTTCTCAAATTATAGAAGTATTAAAAAAAAAGAAAAAAACACAGTGATTATTCAGTTCATTGCTCTACAGTTACCTGCCCGCTTGCTCCTTTCCACACCCCAAAATCCGGAATAATCCCTCATTTCCTTCATTTTGGGGGTTCCACCTCCATAGGTGCTCCTGCCTCACCTGCCAAGCAAAGTTTCACCTATCAGATGTGTCACGAAGTCTGTTGGTCCTCAGCCTCCCCATAGGATTTTCAGATTGGGGTCATCAGCAAGGTACATCAGGCAGAGGTGGGAACTCATCGCAGAAAATGTAATTTCTACCCCTATAATATTAATTTTGCACCATGGGGGTCTCCAGCTACCAGTTAGAAATATCAATGGACAGCGCAAAGAATGACATCGGAGAAAGAAAGGAAACATAAATCCCAGGGAATGAGTATTTCCTTTGTCGGAAAGCAGCAGGATGAGAAAGTAGATGGAGGGTTGGGTTGTTTGGGGTTTTTTTTGGAAGCTGCCATCTTGAACCAAAACCATGTTGTTTTTTTAAGAAGAGCAGCAGTTGTTCAGAGGACATTGGTTTTCTCCTCTCAATTAAAATTTTCTCCCCACAATTAAAATTTTCTCCCCACAATTAAAGTTTTGTCCCTGCAGTTAAAGTTTTCTCCCCACAATTTAAATTTAAGTCCAACTCCCACCAGCCCCCCCAGCTCATCCCAGACCCCTTACCTGGATACGGCTGGTGGGAATGAGCAGGCTGCCGAGGTGCAACCCTCTCCTGCTAAGAGAAATGTGAAACAGAAAGTATTTAAAAATTAAATACTAGGTTTGTTTTGGTTTTTTTATGGGGGATTTTCATGAGGATCCTCCGGGGCAGATGGGGAAGGGGCTGCCTGACCAAGGGCACCTGCCCACAAGCAAAACCTCCGTGGTTTCCCTTCCAGCTCCACCCTGCACCCTCTTCACCTCCTTTTCCTGCATTTACAGCTTTTTTTTTTTCAGCTGGGGAGCACAGACTCTCAAAAAAAAGTTTATTTTGGGATGCAGGAGGGGAAAACATTTGCTGTTGGAGATGGCTTTGCTCTGGGGTGTCGGGGCACCCCAAAAGGGACCTCGAGGGTGCTACGAGGACAAAGGGTGAAGAGCAGGCGGTTCCCTCCAGCCCATCTTATGAAGTTTTTAGATAAAAATATATCTTTTTTCCAGGCAACCACCTCCTGCAAACTTGAGTCATTGAGCCAAGACCGGATCCTGTCTGCCTCTACCCCTATTAAAACCCCCATCCTTCCCCCCCACCCCCCAATAAATGGGATCATCAAGTGAATGCATCCAACAGGGAAAACACTAAAAAAAAAAAGTGTTCTTGCAATTAAGCTCTCTGCCTCCAGATTTTTACCCGCCACAATAACTTACTTTTTTTTTTTAAGCAATGGTCACACGCCACCAGAGCCACTGCTTTTGCAAAGCACAAGAGCAAAGCGTAAAAGCAGCTCACCACAAAAACTTTCCATGAGACTAACAAAGCCTGCAGGTGGAAAAAAAAGAATAAAAATGAAATAATAAAAATAAAAATAAAAAAATAAATAAAAATTAAAATAAAAATTTTAAAAAGGCAGTGCTTTTCCTGCTGGGACCTTTGGGTTTCTTCTCTGTGACTGCATTTCTTGCTGCTGGCAGGTATTGGGGCAAGTTTCTGCTTTTTTTTCTTGCTGTCTTTTGGGTGCGTGGGAAAAAAATAATCGTCATTTCTACCTCTATAAAAAGCCATTGCCGGGGGTGTTACAGAACCAGCCAAAACCTGCTGCAAATGGGGTTTACACGAAAAAAAAAAAAAAAAAGAGAGAGAGAAGAAAAGGGAGGGAAAAAAAGTAAGCGTAGCCTGGGAATTGCTGGTTGCTCTGTGCAACGGTCAAAGTGTCCCAGATCTGGATGCTGTAAAACCACACACTGGGGGTGGGAGGATGTGCTTGCAGGATAAAAATCAAAATAAAGTAAAGTAAAAGATAGTAAAGTAAAATTAAAATAAAAATAAAAGAAACCAACATAAACCAACAGGAAAGGAAAGGAAAGGAAAGGAAAGGAAAGGAAAGGAAAGGAAAGGAAAGGAAAGGAAAGGAAAGGAAAGGAAAGGAAAGGAAAGGAAAAAGAAAAGAAAAGAAAAAAGAAAAGAAAAGAGAAAAGAGAAGAAGAAAAGAAAAGAAAAGAGAAAATTCATTAACAGCTGGCGGGAAACAGGCAGGAAAAAAGATGCTCTCTGCCTCTTCCAGTGGACAAGCTGGGCAATCCCTGCATGCCCCGTCCATTTACGGATCTCCCCACCACAGGATAAAACAAGAGGCCAACTATTGTGTCAAAAGCAGCAGGAGCAGAAGAAAAAGCCGTGCACAGTAAAAGCCATTTCAAGTCGCTTGCAGCCAATATTCTGGGGAAGAAATACCAAATATTACCTGTCTCCTTCTCACCTGATTATCTGCCTCCAGCCATGCTGATCCAGACCCTGATATGCATCAGCCTGACCCTCAAAACCCTTATTTAAAGGTTTATTAGATTTTTTTTTTTTTTCATCTCTGCATGTTTTCCCAGCTGCTTGGCACAATCATTAAACGCATAAGTGTTTCTACACCTCCAGATGTGTGACCGCCACCTGGCTAGAGGACACCTACCCCTCCTCACTGGCCTTAATTTACAAGGGAAGGCTCTAGGATACACTTTTTTTTTTTTTAAAAAAAAAAGAAGATAAAAGGTCCAGACGATGCCATTTCCTGGGGCTGGACGCAGGCGCGAGCAGGTTGGTCATAAGGCGAGACGTTGCCCAAGAACGGCTTCACTCTTGGGACACTCTTGCTATCTTCTGAGCCGGTCATGGCTGGGGAAATAATTTATGCTGATTTAAGGCATCCTGGGGATGGTTTTTCTTCTGCCGAGAAGCGTCACGGTAAGTGCTATTTTGGGGGAAAAGCACTTATTTCAAGCTTTGCTTGCTTTGGGAAGACTTTTGGGTTTGCTTGCTTCTCCATCCCCATGTTGAGTTTTCCAAGATACATGGAGAACGCTGGATGGATTAAGTGTCTAAGGTAGGATCCTGGCTTGCACACAAAAAAAGCAAGGAAGGGATGGGGGAGAGAAAAGCCAGCAAACATCTGGAGGTTGAAGAGTTTTGCTTCCAAGACCCTTCACTGGGTAGCAAAAAGGGGTCCCAAGAAGCCCAGTGTGAGCCAACACACCTTGATGGGAGGCAAAGCTGCCGACACCATGTCTGGGATCCTGGGGGAGATGAGGTCTGGAAAGACCCATGTCCCACCGAGTCCCAGCTCAACTGCGAGCAGGTTTTGCCTGTTCTAAATTAAGCCAATTTCAGAAGGTGTTGGGTCTGCTAAGCTCTATTTTTGGGTGCCCAAGGTTGCTCTTGAGGCTACCTGCAGTCCCTCCACCACCTGAAAAACCCACCCTTAGGTGATGCCCTCAATTCTGCATCCAACTTCATCGGTGGTGATTTATTTTCTTTTTTTTGGAGGAAGCAAAGCAGCCGTTAACTTCTGCTCAAACTTGCCAACTTGACAGAGGGGCTTTTTTTTTTTCCTTTCTCTAAGAACCCCAGCTTTTTCATGTGAAAATGTGCACATTTTTTTAAGCAAATGTGGCCTCTTTCAGCTCCTGCCTTGTGCCCACGGTGGCATGGGGTCGTCCTCAAAGTCAGTGGGCTGGGGCACCTCGTCCTGCTGGTGCTGGTGGTAGTGCTGAGCGCACAGGGTGAGTAACCAGCTCTTACCTATATCTCAAAACCCAGCGAGCAGGCTTGGAGGGGAAATCGTGTTTTATTTCAGCATTTCAGCCTGTGGAGGGGACGAGGTTGCCCACAGAGATGCAACAAGATATATCACCCACCACAAGTAAACCCGCTGTGAAATAAACCCAGACTATCCCCGTAGGTTTTAAACAAGGGTGGAGTGTACAAGCCATGTTTTTCAGGCTGGCTTAATTAACCGGGTGCAACCACAGCAGAGAAAAAAGGAGGGTTGCACAAAATCAAACCCAGACCTACCTGGTTTTGTGGGTTTTATCCCCAAACGGCTGCAGCCTCTCACCCCAGGTCATTCCTCCAAGTTTTTCAGGGCTCTCTGCAGCCGGTGACGACAAGCATTCCCTGGCAAGGCAGCGAGACCCGGGGAAAGAACCACACGGAGCAATGCGTGATTTCAGCCCTGATGCAGTATTACTGCAAGCCCCGGCAGGACAGCCCCACAGGTAACTCCCCCCGCTTCCCACCCAGCTCTGCTGGGGGATGCTCAGGTGGAATTTTTGATGAGGCTTCCTCCGCCCTTCAATTGCCAGGATGCCCTTGGGGATACGAGTTGGTGACCCACCAAAGGGTTATTTGGCAAAGAGGGTTGTTGCAAGGAAGTATTTCTTTTTGCATACATGGAGGAGCAGGACTAACCCCAGGGAGGAGGTTCCTCACCACCCTTCCTCCACCCCAACCAGCCATTTGTGTCCCTGTGGCCACCCAACCCCAGTCGTCCTCCTCCTTTCCAGTGACTGAGCAGGAAAAAACACAACCGTGTGACAAAGACTCAAGGATGGGTAAAGAGCCGAGGCGTGGGATGGGAAAACCCTTGGTGCCTTTCAGGTGGTGGCTGGGGAAGACCTTGACCACCCTTTGGGTTGCCTCATGGCTCTTTCTCCTCTTCAGCCTGTGCTGGCTGCAAGCTGTGTCCCCAGGACTGGCAGCTCCACGGGGACAGATGCTACCGGCTTTCCAAGGAAACGGGGAACTGGAATCAAGGCAAGAAAGGCTGCGAAAATCAGGGGGCTCAGCTGGCAATGCTCCGGGACAAGAAAGAAGAGGTAAATACAGAGGAGAAGGTTTGAAAAAGACCTGCAAATCAGGGGTTTTTTTTAGGTGGGCAGGGGAGCAAAAAGTGCCCGGCGGCAGGAGGGTTTGGGGCTGCAACAGTGGCTCTCACCCACCTCTTGCTCTGATGTCTCCTAAGAAGTGACTGGGAAGAAAAAAGGGTGGAATCATCACCTAAAGCCCCTCTGTGTCCCCCCACCCACCTGTGACATGGGAGGAAGAGGAGGGACACAGAGCTCAGACGGAGACGTCAGTGTCCTGGGCTCTGAATTTAAGCTAGTTCCACCCCAGAGGGCCCTTTAGAGATGGTGCATGGAGGCCTTCAAAGAACAGGGGACATTCGTGTCCCATCTCTTTGGGGATGAAATGAGTCAGATTTACTCCGTGGCTTTGCACCCCACAAAACTCTCTGCAGAGAGATTTTTGGGAGCAACCGGTCACCTCCATTTCCCAGGAGTACATCAAGAATATTACAGGCGGACGCACACAGCCGGTGTGGATTGGATTACTATCATCCCACAGGAAATGGAGATGGGTGGACAACACACCCCTCAACACCACAATGTGAGTGTATCTGCAACCCGTTGGTGTAAAAAGCAGCTTTGCTCCATTTCAGACCCGGTGCATGCCCTGACCCATCCCTCCAAGATTTTTCTGTCTATGCAACGGTCTCGTATTCCTCCTGCCAAAGCTTTGCAGACCAAGAGTTGGGTTTACAGAGCATGATAACCCAACACCTCCCACCATCCCATGCAACCAACACAGCTTTTAATGGTCCATGCACGCTCCTTGCAGATCTTATTGCAAGCACAGCAACCTGTACTCAAATCTGGGCCATCCACCAGCAAGAAATCATTTGTAGCACAACGAGATGGTGCAGAAAAAGGGCAGGAGAAACCTCCCCTCTTCTGCAAGCCTGGAAGAGTTTGCTCCTCTCAGGCAATAACATTTTTTGTTCTGTAGGTTTCGCACCCTGCAGGAGGTGGATGAAGGGTGTGGGACACTGAAAAACAAGGTGTTGGAGGTCGATATCTGTAACGCTGAACATGAGTGGGTTTGCCAGAAACACCCTTTCCAGCTCTCCCCATCGACGGCAGGAGGTGGAGAGAAATGCGACGCCTCTGTCTGACATGTGCCCATCCCAAAATGCCCAGCCTGTGAGACGCTTGCTGCCAATATTTGGGGTAAAGCCACCCCCATCTTCACCGTTACGGTCCTGTGAGAGATTTCAAGGTTTGCAAATGCATTTCCCACACAGGTCAAGACAATTTTTGGGGGTGCAGGCAATCCTCCGAGCTGGGAAAGCAAAAACATCGGTGCCCCAGGTGGTGTGTCGATAGAGCTACAGCATCAATAAAAGCCTACAAAACTAGCTGGTTTCAATTTACTGAAATAACACAGATTTGCAAATAAGAGGTCAGGTGGCACAAAATGTATGGCATGTATTACAAAGTTCTATTAAGAAAAGTTTTCCCGAGTGACGACTGTGGTAAGGAGTATACTACCAAGCGTGCATCTCCCTGGGCACATCCGAGAACATCATCACATGGACTAATGCAAGCAGTTTTTTGTTTGGGGGGGGGGGGGGGGGGGGGGTCTTTTGGGGGGGGGGGATTTTTTTTTGTTGT